AGGTGGATTGGTGAAGGATAAAGCCCACTGAGCACAAGATGTCTCATAGCCGGCTTGAAATGGCTCGACTAATTGCTAGAGACGTATTGGGCTACGCAAGACGTCTAAAGACATCTTTACAAGACGTCTCAAGGTACCTTGACGTAGACGTCTATAAGACATCTTTACAAAACGTCTCAAGAAATCCTGACGTAGACGTCTAAAAGACATTTCAAAGAGATGACTCGCATCTTGGGCGTCTTGTAGCTGTCTCTAAGATGTCTAGGAGACGACTTGCAAGACATCTTGTAGCCCAAAAGAGAGGAAGAGTCATGAGGTCTACAGAACGGCTACAAGATGACTCAAGACGTCTTAGGCTATATCACGTCTTGCCGAGACATCTTTAGACATCTTGCTCGTCTTGCGAAGATGTCTTTAGACGTCTAATAGACTACTTTAGCCATCTAATAGACGACTTCGTGTTCAGTGGGTAATATATAGAAGTTTGAACTGCGCCTCTTGCCCATTTTATGCAATCTCTATGATCCGTAGATTTCACCGTTACAAAAACACAACCTCTCCTGCATCAAAATCAGAGGCTTTATGAACCTTGACGAGATAATCAGCTGTTAAACTTCTTTTGACAGTGTGGTCCGAGATTTGAAAGATAACTGTGGCGGCATATTTCCTGGACCATTCACCCTTTGCGCTGATCGAACCTAATGCAAAATAAAGTTTTTTTCGTGTTTCTTTTTTTGGAGGGGAAGGGGGGTAGCATTGCACATTCAAATTCCGAGTTTATCGGATAAATTCGAATTGACAATAATTTGACTGGCGGGTGTTATTTTGATTTATCCGAAAACACCGAAGCCTACTTATATATAAGCTAGTAAATACGAGCTGTGCCAACACCACTTAGATAAGCCCCTCCGCAATGTGATCGCACCATCATCCCAGTCAGATTGATAGAGGCCTGAGGTTGGGCACGAGGGCTGCGTCGGAGTTCGGCTGGGGCTCGTGTTCATTCCACGTGTCGAAGGCTGACTGTGATGACTTTTCATGAACGGAGAGGAGGCAATGCGGAGGTTTTGATTATTCTAGGTGGTGTTGGCTGTGCTCATTCAGCAGGACGTGTTTCGTGCTGTACACGGCTAGTAGTACGCCGGGTCGTCGGGCTGGTGAGCCATCGGAAGGCAAAGAGAAGCTACCCCGCTTGGTCCATGCAGTACGAGTGCGGCTACGGGACGGCCATCTTGCATGCGGCGAAATCGCGTTCTCGCAAGCGTTGCGGAGGCTGGAGTCAGCATGCTGAACACACGTTTTCTACTCGTTCGTCGTCATTTGCCAAAGAAGTTTTTTAAAACCCTGTGTAAGCGGTGAGACTTGCCGTTGAGAACACGTGAAAATTTTTACGGAAGCGCAGTGCCGCAGAAAAAATGCACAACTTGTCGAAAGAAAGTTGAGCTGGTTTCGCGGCGTGATGAAAGCTTCCTTGGCACGCTGAAGTGGTGCGTCTCTGTGCCTTCGCACGTACGCTTGGATACCGATCAAGAATCGACGCCGTGTGGATGTGTTTTGCAATTGCAATGTGCGTGAAGCCGTATGTGCCTCTGAGCAACTTTTTACTTTACTCTGACGACTGTATCTGTAACTTGCGGCACTCGCGGTCCAGAAACAAACTTGATCCAGCGTCCAGTGGCAATGGAGCGAAGGTACGTCTTTTTTCCGTCGTTAGGCGGTTTACAGAATACCACACAACAGCTCATCATCGCTGATCAGGGGCCTTCCAAAACTCGAAGTGCCCCATAGCGGCGAATTGCCGCACAGTGCACCCTGGGAGCTAGTTGGCCATTCAGGTTCGGTTTCGACTGAGGAGCTTCAATTACGCCATCACGACGCGTGACCGAATGCGCTGCTTCCGTTCTCAATTGCCCGACTTCCCACGAATGTACAATACTCGTAAGCACTCTCGAGCGATATAGAAGGAAGACTGAGGCGCTTTTTTTTTTTTCGTTCCCGACATGCCGGACATTGTGCCTGCGTATGCAGACGTAGTAAGACGTCACTTAGTCCCTTCATCCCCCGATTGTATCTTTGAGATTTTGTTTGCCAAACATCCGCCTCGTGTTACCTCATTGAGCAAACAAGCCCATCCTCACAGGATACTCACAGTTGAGCCCAGCGTCGGCGCATGACGGCACAGAAGTTGGTATGAAGTCGTCCTCGTGTCGTCATATATCTCCCACTAAACTTTTATGCCGATTGGAGACTACGTTTTCGCAAACGCCGAGATCGCCGAGCTACCCTAGCTAACAAGCCTCGAATACCGGAAAAAAGCTCACCGCGAAACCGGAGGATGCAGAGAAAAGCTCACCGGCCATTGAGCGTATGCGGATGAAAGCTCACCGATATGGAGGCTGCGTGATTATGCGTAACATATATCAATTTATTGTCATTAAAATTCGTCAGTTTTGTAAAAAAGAAAATGTCATGTTCTATACTATTTGTTAAACTTTTTGGATATCCTGCTCCCAAATTAATAATTGCGGGCGAGTGTTTTTTGTGGCTTACTTTCTTGGCAACTAAAGCCTAACTGAAAACTTTATAAACTTGAAGAACAGGAAAAAGCTTGATAACTTAGTAATGTACGTCTGCCTAAAGCCTAAAACTCAAAACTGTAAATGCCCAAAATTCGAAAGTGTGCACGCAACAACGCTGTGCCTGAAAATATCTTTGAAGCTTTTGTTAACCTTCGAAAACAGGATAAAACAGTCAGTAGGATATCGAGGCTTCTTTTTCCACGGACATGAACATTTTCTTTTCTAGCCGTTCGTGCTGGTGTTTCCACACGTTGCCTTTGTGTGATAGTGCCCTTCTTGCAGCGAACCACCCATGACCTTCAGAGCTGCACACTGTCACCGTTGTTACTCGTGACCTATATAAGAAGTTGTCTTCTGTAAGGTAGCGAGTAGGGCGAGTTGGTAAGCGTTTTACATGATGAAAACAGCTCAAACGACGACGACGGAGTGAAGACAACAAACACGACAGGACGAAGCTGTTCTCGAAACTAAAGGTTTGTTAGTCAAATTAACAGAAAGAGAACAGCGTAGCTGCCACTGATTACATTAACGAAGACCTACTTATACATTAGGCACTACACAATATTTGGAGCTGAAACGGTTCACACACCGCTAGTCATATTAGCTCGCAAAAATTGAACCTCTTTATCTGACAGAGCTACCGACGGCGCACTGTCAGCTGTCGTTAAATTGTTGTTTCTTTTACCGGTGTACGATGTTCTGATTTTATACTTGTGGCTTCATTAATATACAGAATGAGAGATTACTAATTTCTGAGGAATTAGCAAATATGCACAATGAACTTCAAGAATATTGCCAAAAAAAAGTTGATTTATTTTTAATGAAGTGATGAATGCGAATTGTGTTAAATTGCCACGTTTAACGCAAAATCCGCCAAGTTTAAAAAAAATGGTCAGCCTTTCTCCGCATCTGCCGGTTTTGCGGTGAGCTTTTCTCCGGTTAGCTTATCTCCGGTGAGCTTATCTCCGGTGAGCTTATCTCCGGTGAGCTTATCTCGGTGAGCTTCTCTTAAGCCTCCCCTACTCTCCGCGAAGCCTTTTTGTATGAGCTTTTACCGACACCCAAGATCTGTGTCTGAACGGTGGTTCTGAAATTATCTCGGCACACTCAGTCACGAAGAAGGCAAGCACATAACAAATCATATAGTCGTTAGCAACCGCTAAATGCGCTTGGAATTTTTAAGCTAGCGCCCAGGCAAAACTTTCTAACTGGGACCAGTTGGCACCTCAACTGGTTTCAACTGGGACTAACTGGTACCAACTGGGAATCAACTGGGACCAATAGGAGTCCAACAGGGACCAGCTGAGGGGTCAACTGGTTTCAACCATTCCCAGTTGGGAGTCAACTGGGACCAATAGGAGTCCAACTGGGACCAGCTGAGGGGTCAACTGGTTTGAACCATTCCCAGTTGGGAGTCAACTGTTTGACTCCCAGTTGGGAATGGAGTGAACTGGGACCAGTCAGGAAAGTAACTGGTTGGAGCGATTCCCAGTCGGACTTCAAATGCCTTTCCCGTTGCCAGTTCACACGGGGGCGGACTTCTTCCAAAACCGACGCGCCCCATCGCGGCAAAATACCACGCAGTGCACTGTGGGAACTAGTTGGCCACTCAGTTTTGGTTTCGATACGTGTTGTCCGCCGAACTGTGCGACATTCTTCACGCAAGTGCCCGACGGTTGCTAAAAATAATTTCGTCAATGAACGATACACACTTGCTCACCAGCAACACCAATGTAAAGTTGCGAGCTCGGTTTACGCGAACTTATTGGTTGTTGCAGCGTGTTGACTCGTGCACAAGCAAGATCCCTGCGCTTCGCAGCGTCGAGATTCCCATCAGTGGCTCGTCCACCATACCTCGAAACGCTAACAGGAAGGCTCGAGTGCAAAAATAAACATGTGTCAAGACAAGCTTTACGTATGGTTCGCGCTTGTGCTGAAGCTTCGAGGTCTGGCCATTTAGTTTAGTTTACGGACCAGGAAACAAGAGATAACGGCTGTTGATAATCCATGCTCTTTGTATGATTCCTTCTCGATGTGTCGATCGAAACCGAAATCATGCCGCTCTCCTCCCTGACCTATGCAATGGCCAACTAGTTCCCAGAGTGCAACGCGCGCGGTGTTGCTTGCAGGGATTTATGGAAGTAGTCCCAAATCTGCGAGCGCTCGCTATTTCCATGAGCAGTGGTTATCAAAACAAGGCACCTAGGAAAGGTGGCGCAAGCTACCGCCCATTATCAAGGGTATAACACTACAGTCCAGGTCAGCTGCAGTCCAGGTTAGCCAGGTTACACGGCTCTGCCAGGTTCGCCAGGTTAGCATCTGTCCATCCATCGATCTTTTCTCAAAGTGTCTCGGGTGGGGCTGGGAAATGCGTGAGGATGTGAAAATGCTCAAATTTCACCGAGTTTACCAACGTTTCAAGGTTTCTTCACGATCAATGTGTTCAAGAAAAGCCCACGCTGGGGCAAGTCAGTGACCCTGTCCGGTTGCAACTACGGTGAGCACGATTTGCTTCCATTGGCCATTAGAATGTTTTCTCGGCAAACCTTGTCGTCTTCAGCATTACGCCGACAAAGCCGTAATGCTGATAGAGATGTCCTCATCAGCGAAGGCCAACAATGGTCACAGATTGGACACGACGATTGCATCAACGGACGGCTCAAACTTGGCACGATGCGGAGCGCTGACTCAGTACTCATTTCCAATTCGTCCAGCGACGGCTTTCTCTGGTGCCTCAAAAGAGCCGGGTCGAGACCGAGTTTCCGACCCCTCCCCGCATTAATATTTTAGAATAGAGCGTGTCACCCTTCGAAACTTTTATTATATATATATATATTTTTTTTTTTTTTGCAAAAATAAACTATGCATTGTCGAATGCTTAGTTTCCGTCCAAATGTGGCCCTAGAGGTCCAAACCCGAGGCCAAAGTTCCAGAACCAACCGTTATCTCGAAAGTTGTGAGCGATTTTTTGAAAGTTTCGACAGACAAATGCTGGCTGCTGGAGCCGTTGAATAAATGGAGCTGAATGGCGCAAGTTACTGAAAACGTATTTTGAACAAGATATCGGTTGGTTCTGTAATTTTGGCATCCGGTTGGGGCCTCTAGAGCTACATTTGGGCCGAAACTGAGCATACAGCGATGCATAGTTTACTTTTGCGTTTAAAAAAATCTTTTTTTTTTTTGGAACTTACTGTATTAGGGGAGGGGCGGTTGGCTTGCTCTAAAAGTGGCACTGATGAAATTTTAGTATGAGGAATGCACCACCTAAAGACACCTTTGTGGAAAGTTTATTTCAACACTGTCTGTTGGCTTATTTATATTTTTTTAAGCCGGTAGAGGGCTTTGGAACCCATTGTAGAATGGGGTTGAGGAGTAATAGCCTGGCATCAGCAGTGCACACATATTGCATTGTAAAGCACCTTTCTATTGTAGCAAACTGGAAATTCCAGATATCTCATTATTTCCTCAATAAGTGTTCAGTCCTTTAGTACATATGCTTTCCCTTTAAATCGCTTGTAACACACAATTTTTATTGCCATTTGTTGCTTCTGATGTTCGTAAATTGTTGATTTCTTTCATTGTGAATAATGCAGCTACCATAAGTGCCTTTAAATTCGGACAGCTGGGAGAATTATGCTCTGTGCTCTCATAGCTATCAAAGGCCTGTATGTAGCCTTTGATAGCTATGATACGTACCTAGCCTCACAAATGCAAATACCGACAAATGAACTGTGCAAGCTGCTGCCATTGCCAGCATCTCATTGTCATTGTTCAGTTGTTGGAGTGTACATGTGCTGGCTGTCACTTGCAATAGATAGTCATACTTAAAATTTTAGAAATTTTATGCATCTTGAGAATCATTGTGCACAGAACAAATAGCTCTTAGCACTCAAAATGACCATGCAGCAAAGCTTTTGTTCCCCTTCCCTCTTTCAAAATAAACGTAGGATTACAAAAAAAAAGATGAATTTTTGACCAAAATGAATAAAATTTTTTAATGGATCCCAGAGATATAGAGCTGATAGCAACATTATTAAATTTCTCTGATTTAATATGGAGGCATTTAATTTCATGTTGCAGCTCGAGGCAGCGGAAAACTAGACACATGGGGGAGCTATTTCTCCTTTTCCTTAGTCTTGGATCTCCATCACAGCCCATACCAGTTGAAGCCTTATTATCTAGCTTTCAACTATTTCTGGGGTTGTCAGGTTTGACCAATCATAGGAATTTATTGTGTTGTCAATATTTTTGTTTATGTTGTCCAAATCCACTATTAATTGCACAAACAACCCTGAAATCAAAAGAATTTGCAGTGGTTTGCCCAGTGCTTTTAGTTATAAAACAAATTGTATCTAGTTTTAGGAACCTACTGCAATGACACAGTGCTCACGTTATAGGACTGCTTTAAATTTTTTTAGGTTTCTCAACTTCTACCTGGAACAACAATGGCACACACCTGAGGGAAAAGAACTTTCAAAGGAGGAAGTACTTGCTTGTCAGAAAGTAATTGGACGTTGCCTATCACAGAGGCTGATGGACATTGCCCGTGACCACCTCGCTCGGAATGCCTGGCTACAGATATGATGGGTATTTACTTTCAGTTTTACCAAACCTACATTTATGCGTCTTTACAATTAACAAGCCATAATTTTAGGTCAGCAAAGCTGCCATGTTCATTTATCATGATGATACCGTACACATGCTTTAAGGAGAAAGGGAAATAGAGACATTGATGAACTGGCAGCATGAACATTTATTTAAGGTCCTCAAAAACCACGACAGTTGCAGCGGTGGGCTCAGTAAAGAGGGAGAGAAAAATGAGGTAGCTGACCAAAAGTGAGAAGAAGAAAAATAACCTAGAAGATGGGAAACTGAGTGCAGAGATTTAACCCTAGACCACGTAGAGGTGTGTTGTGGTTGTTGACAGAGACATGCGATTACAGGTTCTAACAAGCTAAGAAACGGGGCTTCTATGTTTCCAGGAAAACTACACATGTTAAAAGCCTTAATTATCTGCACACCTTATGAGACTAGTCATTCCGTTGGAAATAGACATTTTCTCTCTGCAATTCTCACCTCGAATAGTACATCTCTCTCCACAACTACAGCCCACCTAGGTCTGAAGTCATTTGTCTGCCCACTTTCCTGTCTTCTAGGTCACTTCCTTCTGACTTATTCCCTCCTTTTTTTCTTACTTACCGCCCAATCTTTTCTTTCTTCAATTTTGCCGCTTAGGCAACTGTTGGCATGGGGCTCATTCCACGCCAAACATCCCAGACGTTACGCTTGACCATTTCCCATTTTAAAAAGAAAATTCATGGCTCTTTACCCCAAAGTCCGTAACCTTTTCCTAAAATACTTGGAATGAAGAGCGTGCTGGTAGGGGTAAAATATAAATAAAGGAAGAACAGAAAAGAGCTTTTATGTTGTTTCCTTATTTATATGTTCCCTAAAATATTTTTGCCGAAAACATTTTTTTTACGGCGTGTGCGTGTTTTTACTTCTTAAATGGGCACACAACTAGGCATTCAATAAAGAAGTGAGTCTAATTTTTTTCAAAATGCCTCGGATTTTATTTTATGAAATTCGAATGGCTTTTACCTTGCTATGTTGTGATGTTTATGCAACTTTAATTGTTAAAATAGTTTTAGAAACCTCATCAAAAATCTTTTTTTTTTGCAATTTTCTTAATATTTTTGTTTAATTATCGCTCTGCACCTGGTAATTATAAGTTTTTTTTGCTATTGAAAGCCCCGTAGACATTTTACAAATAAAAAAAAATGTTTGAAGCTGCATAACGAAATACCTCATGAAAAAAAATATTCTAAAGTTGTGAAAAAGTCTTTTTTTTTGCCTAAACATGCATTTATTCTATTATGAGGTTGTCAGAGTACAAATGTGAAAGATACCGACATTAGAAGAAGAGTTTGTCTTTAATTTCTGAAAGTTTATTCAAAATAAACTTTTTTCTAAAGCAAGAAAAAAAAATGTTGAAGATGAGTTGCCTTTGTTGCAACCTGGCATTGTTTCTTAGCGCCCCTTCACCGCACTACACGCCACCTTACACCAGAGTTGAGAAACTTTGCGATCATGCAAGGCATTTGTTGGTTCAGAATGTGATTTTCGCATAGGCTTCTTTCTACTCATGCACATTTTTGACTCGCAATTGCCTCACATATATTGTCACTGTTTACAGCTAAAGAGGTACCGCGGTTTGCCGCGGTCGCTTCCACTTGTCCTTCTTTTTGGCTGTAACGCACACAACAGTGGATATGGTGTGATAATCATAAACGCTGTCACTGCATAGCTGGCTTCTTTCACCCTTTGTACCAGTGTCGGCTCTCCTCACTTTGAAACTTGATGCCTAACGGCCTCACATCGCCTAAAAGAAACTTATTCCCTCAGGAAACGCAATGTCGACCAAGTGAGATCCCTACTGGCATATTGAAAGGAATGAACCGACAGTAAGGAAGGGCAAAAAACTAGGGGTATTGTTTCGAACGACCACTAATTAGTAGCAATCGGGAATCTAGCCAAGAAATTTTAGTTTTTGTCAGAGTATGGTGACATATTGATGTATGGAGCAGGTCACTCGGCACAGGCAAGTCATCCTGCAGTTGATGCGGATGCTGATGAGGGTAAGCAGGAAATTCTAATTGTTGATGATGATTCTTTTAGAGCGCAGCTCTTAGGCGCCCGTTTCTGGCTTGAGCGGCGTCCCCGTCGCCATTACCGCGCGTTGCATTATGGGAAAATTTTCCCCCTAAATCTAGCGGAAAAATTTCCCCACTAAATCTAGCGAAAAATTTCCCCGTTAAATCCAGCGGAAAAATTTCCCCGCTAAATCTAGCGGAAAACTTTCCTCGATAAATCTAGCTGAAAAATTTCCCCGCTAAATCTAGCGGAAAAATCTCCTCGCTAAATCTAGCGGAAACGTTTTCCCGCTAAATCTACAGGAAAAATTTCGCTGGAAGGCCGCGTGACCCCCCACATGACCTCGGGGAGGGGGATCACGTGACCTTGGGGGTCACGTGACCTCAAGATGGGGCGGGGGTGGGGGTCACGTGACCCCTCCCCCTGGTTACGTAACCCCCCCCCCAGAAAAAAAAAATGTCACCCTCAGTTCCCTCCCCTCCTCCTCAAGAGCTGCACTCTAATTCAGCATTACAGGGAGCTGTAAACGGCTTTTATTTATTTTTTTGTTAGGGGCGAAGCTCCTTAGGGGCTAGCCATGTTTGGCGTCGGGTGCTCGTGCTTCGCTCGTGAGTTCATGTGCTCACGAGCACGTGAGCACGTGTTCCTAAGGTTGTGTAAGACAAAAAAAGCGCATCTTTACGTGGTGAATGATGTTGATTGGGGCGAAGCGTAGACGCTGAGCCGCAGCATGCCCAGCCTTTCGTTCGTTTTCATCCACCTCAGAAAGAGAATGTGTGGTATGGAATGTGGTTATATGCGCATTTGAGCATTTGACCGCAGCGTGACATGGATGAAAACGAAAGGCTCGGCATCCTGCGGCTCAGCGTCTACGCAGACAAGCCCCACCAGAGCTTCGCCCCAATCAACATTTTCACAACATTGAGATGCAGTTGTTTTTCTAAATTAGGAGGATAGTTGTATTGTGTTTACTCATTTCTAATGTGTCGCCAACTCTGTTTAGTTGCTGCGGTTCAATTCATGCCTTTTTCGAACCACCTTGACCGTAAAGAAAATTTAAGCTGCATGTCATTTGTTCTGTTATGCTTATGCATACCTGCCAAGTTTTACGATTTTATCGTAAAGTGTCCGCTTTCCAGCGCTTTCTTGAGGTTATCGCATTAACAACAATATTTGTATGATTTTCCGCTCCCCCCTGTAAAGAAAAAAAATTGTTTAAGCTGCATCTCACTTGTTTACAAGTTGGGGTTGGCAACACTGGATAGTGACTTGTATGCCAGGGGGCGCAAGCTACCGCTCCAGTGATGTAAGGGGTGGTATAGCCGCTACTGAGCTGAGCGTCTAAAATCCATCCATCCATCTTAATCCAAAACTGGAAATCTCCTTTGTTGTGGCGAACGTTGTACGTTGTGTTACTGGAACTTTTACTCATGATCCCTTGAAACCATCTTTGCTACAAGATGGCGGGAAAAAAATACATGCAAGTGTTTATTCCCAGCTATTTATCCGACTTTCCATTTATGAAGACGTCGCGCAAGGGCGAAATGTTCACATTTTGTAGTCTGTCGCTGTGATGTCAACATTTCGCACGCTGGTCGCCGGGACATTCTGTCATCTGAATACAAAAAAACACAAGGGCTCTGCAAATTTAGATGAAACCAACGAGAAGCTTGGAGGGTACTTTAGTCGATGAACGGATTACGACACTACCCGAGCAGAATGCCTTTTACGACATTTTTGATTGAACACAACGTGCCGTTTACAGCGGTTGTTGTGGTGACGTTAAAGAGCAAGAACTTTGCTCTTTAACGTCTTCGTTAAACCAGGCACAGGAGAAAGAGTTTTCAGCAAAGTGAAGGAGGCACACACGCAGTTCCGCTCCTCTATGTCGAAAAAGACTCTTGAACAGTTGTTAGTTGTGAGATGCAGCCAGTCTGGAAGGTGCCATGAACAAGTGTTCGACAACAACTTCCTAAGAGAACCATATGCTGAAACTTCCTCAGTGTTGACCCAAACTTCTACTTCTAAAGAATAAGACATTGCGTGCAATGTATGATGTGTTTGTGCCCTAGTTGAGGCATTTTTCTTACCTAAACCAAGTTTTTGAAGTATAAATCAGTTTTCGTATTCCTTCACACAATAGTAGTGTTTTTTGGCATCCCTTGTAGTATTTTCACCATTGTAGGTTGGCAGGTCTGCTTATGTGACACCTATCCGAGTGAAAGTTGTAATAGTGCATTGATTTATTTGCAGTTGACCTGGTTCACTTGCCTGTCGCTAAACCAGCACGAAAAAGTTTTTAAAGCTGAATATACCGGTTTGGATACAGTACTAGCTTATGTCTTGAGGGACTTGATCTTTATGTGCCGGTATTAAGCGAATAGTTAAGAGGGCTTTCTTTTATGTGCACTGCCTACCATCAAGATTTCTGGTTTGTTCGCAGAAGTTCAACTTCCTCCGTGCTTTCTTGGTTCATGTGGTTGCCACAAAATCACGTAGGCTAAGAAGCAGTTTCTGATTGATGCTTAAAGACCGACCAACGAAACCATATTCCGCAAGGTAGGAGAATGCCCCTCGCACCCTCCTCTTTTCATTCTCTCCCAAAAATCATGTGACGACAGGGGTTGCTTTTGTGTCGGCTTTTTCTGTATGGATAATCCTCAAAAAGTGTGCAATGAGCGGCTAGCTGCGAGCGCCACAACGACCTTGAGACGTCCAGGTGCAGGGGTGTGACATCTGCCCCAATTGCGCTATTCTGATACAAACCCAGTTTTCTGCGCCTAGTTGTGCCAGAAACATTAAATTGGTTGAAATTGCGCCACACTGTGCCAAGAGTAACTCAAAAACTAAAAAAAATTTAGGGGCGGCACTAGATTCAGCAGGAAACGAGAGCTTGGTTGACAACACTCAATCTCGTCGTAGTAAAGTACACG